CGAAGAAACCGTCAAAGCTGCCCAAAATGACCACCGAATAAAACAACGGAGAAAAAAAAGTCAATGAATCTAGGTCAGCAGAAAAAATATAAGGATGAAGAATAATTCCATAATAAATTCATGGAACTGGATCATTTTTTAATATGTACTTTTTCTCTGTCATTTTAGTTCTTAATTCATAAATTGGCTGAACTAGAAACTTAAGGACTGCTGATTTGTGCTAAAAAGTGTCCATGGCTCATCGTCCTGCCACGTCGATCCAAATATGCCGAGCCTTCGTCTCTACCGCCCTGACAGGCATCGTCAAAGCGTGAAGGCATTCTTCAATAAACTTCAACAGAAGGCCAGAACCAAGAAAAAAGGCCAGCTGCAATCCTGTCTGCTACTTTTTACATCTTACAAAGATTTAGTTGGCCATTTCCTGCCCATCCCTGCAGGCTCTAGTTTATGTAGAGTTGAGGTGGATGTGGTAGAAACATCTGTTTGCTTGCCCAGCCGATGCATAATCCGATCCCGTAATGCTGTCCCGTGTCCTGATGTGCCGATTTTCGTGCATCATTTGAGAGGTGAGAATCTGTACCCAATTCAGGCCAATCCCACTTCAGCTTCTCACTCTTTGCTTCATCCGGCCCCCTCCTCGGCTCCCTGATACAATGCAATAACCAGAAGTAGTTCACACTCAGTGCCCTAAACTCATTGCTCCCAATTCGGACATTAGTGGTATAGTTACCGCCTTAACTTGGTGTATGATGAGTTTTATTAAAGGATGATCTGTGGCCCTGACGAGATCTGTCAAAATAGAATTAATCACATTCGCTGAAAGGCGAACCGATAACTTTTTTACACAAATGAGTACTTTTAAGCATCTCCGATTCTCGATGAGGCCAATCAAAGAATCGCTTCCACCCAACTTTTACTTTAAAATAACTTGTCCAATGGCAGAGGTAAAATATACCTTAAATATTTAATGAGAATAATAAAAGCACAAACACTTAATCATAGCACCAGCGAGGAATAAACCAAATAGCGTTAATGCAGCTGCAAAAATTGCAATCCTAAATATAGGGTGAAAACCGGGACTCAAATTAAGCAGCTCCTTAAATCTAAATGAAAACATTCTGACAAGCAAACATACAAGCAAGCACGAAAATAGACAAATGTTGAAATTAAAAAGTTCAAGCTGTACGGAAAATAAAATTATCAATTTTTAAGAAACAAACAATCAACAAACCATTTTTGCTGTAAGTAGGTTTCCTCTGGAATAAGACCAAGTCAGTCTAGGTCGTTTAAGGTGATCTAAGGACTCATTGTTGAGTTCTCTCGCAATGAGATGGCTAGGCCTCAACTCCTGTCAAGAAACTATTTATAAGCAAAGGAGTGAAGCAACCAATACACAAAATTTCACGACTGGATGTATTATTTAATTGGCATATACACGAAAGCGAAATAAAATGAGCCTACTTACCATCGAGTGATTAATTGGAATACAAAACACAATTTTCGTTAGATATGAGGAGAGCAGATCCAATAATCTGGAATTTACTACTAATTAATTAAATGGTTTAGACTCGTAGAGGATAATAACTGCCCCAAAACTGAACAAATGATCGTTTAACGCAAAAGGCAGCCAGCCATCTGACCAGACGAAAGAGACGAACCAACCAGAAGTTAACTACTCGGCAAAAAGAGTACCTCTGCTTAAAGGCATGTGTCAGAGCATGTAAATGAAAGTGGGATCGGGTAATAAATAGCTTCTGAGCACAAGGAAAATGCGATGGGTAAACAAAGTATTGACAAAGTGGGTCAGCAGAGAGGCAATGTTCCACCGGGCCAGCCTATTTTAGCAAGAAATTAAGTGAACAAATGATAAAACAATAAACAGCAACCAATGGTATGAGATGTATTCACTTTATTTGGTGTAAAATAATAAAGGACTGGTGGTTGAATTTTCCCACAAGCAGCTGAGTCGAGCTGACGCATTCATTAAATTTCGCATAGTCTTGCTTTTCCAAAAGGTGTTCGCATCCCGGCTTGAATAGACTACCATTTCGACTTCACCTTCACTGGTCTCATCAACACCTCCCACTCGGACTCGAACTATGACGAGACATTTTCCTATATCACATTATTTAGCGTGACTGTCGATGAAGCAAAGTTGTATTTGCTATAGCCATCGACTTTCACCTATTTTTCGTTTATAAGTAGGGTTTTGTTACATCACCTTAGACAAAATATGGTTAATACATCTCATATAACTGACTTACTGGAAGTCTCGAAACTCTACTTATAAACAAAAAATTAGTATTTTCGTCGATGGCTATAGCAAATACAGCTTTGCTTCATCGACAATGCCGCCAAATAATGTGATATAGGAAAATGTCTCGTCATGGTTCGAGTCCCGCTGGAGGTGTTGGAGACCAGTTAAGGCGAGGTCGAAATAGCAGTCCACTCGAGCCGGGATGAGAACACCTTTTGGAAGAGCAAGGCCATGCGAAATTTAATGGAAGCGTCAGCTATACTCTGCTGATTGTGGGAAAATTCAACTACCAGTTCTTTATTATCTTAAACCAAATAGGATGATTACTTCTCATTTAACAGATTTTCTGGTAGTCTCGAGAACCTACTTATGAACGAAAAGGCAACCACTCGCATGGAAAATAACCAATCGCTTAGCCAACAATAATTGAGTAATTCATGCGATCTCAGATATTAAGACCAAGAAGGCTCTGTTGGTCAATTTGTCCTCGTTTTCACGACTTGGCCTTGTGTCAGGTACCCAGTTCTGCGTTGTCTGCTCGAGTAATCAGAAGACTTCCAGCGTCAAACCGAGGAGCTGGTACATTCCCAAACTTACTTGCCTGCTCGACGAAGTGTGGCTCGGTGCAAAGACTAGCGGCTCTCGCCACGATGTCGACGAGAAGACCTGCACAACTTATGGGAATGTACCAACGCAACAGTTTGGCGCTGGGGCGTAACATGTTTACTCGGGCAGAATGGTCGACCTGACAGCAGGACCAAATTGGAAAAACGAGGACAAGCCAACGCAATGCTTGAGTAGTCTTGATAAACATGCACTTGGCTCGAGTCCTGAGGAGCCAGGGCCAATGTGGTGCAGATCTGTCGTCTGGAGCAACGGACACAACGGCACCTAAGGCTCTGAGTGACAGGTTGTTCGCGTGCTTGTGCCGGGGGCAGTTGTAAGAACCACCTCTTTGAGCCCAATGGATCGGCAGAACCATCCAGACTGGCCAGACGTGGAAACCGAGACTGACGACTCGGTCGGCTCCAGACCGCCTCGTCCAGGTGGCTGGACGAGCTGAAGCCCTTAGGGCCCACAGGAAGCCATAAGAGGCTATACAGGCAGACAGACAAACAGACATATAGACAGACGGAAGGACGAATAGATCTCGGGGCCAGATTAGCCAATGACAGAGAGCAGCCTAGTCCCCAATACTCAGCCTTTTATTGATTTGCCAGTGTCAAATTGTAGCCATAGTTACTTGTAGTATTTTCATCTCTCTTCCATCACTTCTGTGCAGTCAAGTTACCCAAAGAGGAGGCGTCCAGAGGGCAGACGGGCATTTAACTGACTCATTTTATTATTTTATCCAACTCTTGCCTCGAGCTGTAGAGCCTTCCAGACGATGAGCGTAAAGAGATTACAACCAAAACAGGCGTAAGGTAGCCCCAGCCGACGAGCTCAAG